AAGCGGTATGTAAGTGGAACTGGTGTCCAGATTCAGCGGCTGTTGAAACTGATCAGTTTCAGCAGCGGCTGATGCCATTTCCGACTTACATACAGATTCAACTTAGGGACTGTAGGTTTGTTCTTATCTTGTACGTAACCCGGGGACTGCCTGTATACCAAAATGTGTTCATTTTTTTTATTGTATTCTTTGGTATATATGGTTGTGCCAATTTTCTTCCACTATTTGATCTGAGGAAGTGGGTCTGGCCCATGAAAGCTCATCACCTAATAAACCATCTTGTTAGTCTTTAAAGTGCTACATAGTCCTGTTTAATGTCTTAAGCAGGGATGTGGGAATCTAGATTCCTAGATTCTATTTCCAGCTTTGTTAGTTTTGTTGCGTGATCTTAGACAATCACTTACACTCATTGCTTCTGTTCTCCCATATTTAAAATGATTGGAATTCATCCTTGGAGAGATGCTGTGAGGTTTAATCAGTATTTAGGTGCTTTGAACTTCTTGCATTAGAAGCACTCAAAGTGTAAAATATTTTTTTTTCTTAGTCATACCTCAGTCAATAACAGAACTTCTGTGTTTTGGATTTCATCTTCGTAATTTTAGCTACTTTACATTGTTTCCTATCACATTTTTTTCTTGTCCCTTTATATTAAAATGGTAGATCATATTTACATAATCATTTGGATTTCTATTAGGTCAGTGTTAACTCAGATATAAGTACTGACTTATTTTCTCAATGGCACTAGTGCTTAAAGCAAACATTGCTGTGTTTTTTTTAATGCTCCTACCCATTTTTTTTTAATGCTCCTACACATTAGTATTGAAAACTTGAAAGCACAAAAACCATGCTGTTTTTAGATGACCTCAGATATGAACTTCATTTGAAATATATTGTGGTAGTAGTAGTTTAATTTTTTCATTTTTTAAGTTCTAAATTTTTCTTTGGCTGCAGAAAATTAAAATTCTCAGGGTATTCTTAATATTTTCAGAACGATATAGAAGCAAGTAAATCTGCCCCAGTCCTGAATACAGCTAAACAGGATGGACCGATGCCAAAACCACATAGTGTGTCTCTTAATGATACTGAAACAAGGAAACTAATGGAAGAGTGCAAAAGACTTCAGGCTGATATTATGAAACTGTCAGATGAAAATCGACACCTGAGAGTAAGTTCTGTTTTAATGTTTCATATTAAAATGAGTTACACCCAAACAGATGATTAAAAGGCATGGATTTATATATGTGCCTGCAGATAAAACTTAACTTCAGTTTTTATCTGCATAAAACTTAAAAAGGGAAAATGCTTCTGAGAATTAACAAAGCCAGTGGTGGAAGGTAGGTACAACTGCCCGTATAATAGGGATCATCTGCTGTATAATTATTTTTGTTCTCCTAAGATAGTGTTTCGCAAACTTTTTGGCCCATGGCCCACCTGGCTCAATGCAAACTTTTCCATGGACCATCAGTTGCTAATGGAAACTCGCTTTTAATTATATAATTACACCCGAGCAATGTTGCCAGTGCTGCAGTTAGGGAGAATAGTTTAACTTAACCAGTAAGAAAGGAAATATTAATTTAAATTATTAAACAGATTATGTTCTTAACTTTTTAATGTTTATTTAAAATGAAGTTTGAGAAACTAAGTAAAAAATTATTTATGTCCAACACAAAAGGTTTCAATGTTTTCTTTGTTATGGCTTTTTTGAATTGGGGAACACTGACCCACAGAACAATCAGTTGGGAACCACACAAATGAGAAGCAAAAAACCCCCTTCAGATACCCCCAACCCTCACTTATATAGCCTCCAACTGAGACACATCACTAGTGCTCCAGCCCCACAGAGGGAAGGGGAAGGACAGGAAGGGCTGAGGTTCAGGGATTCCCATTGACCAGTTTTACTCTTGTGGGGTTATGGCTGTAGTGGATTTTGTGGAAACCTCCACCCCCAGGCTCTGGGGTGGGGTAAGAAATAAGGGGTTCAGTGTACAGGACAGGGTTGCCAGTGAGTGGGGGTGCAGGATTTGAGTGGGAGGTGGGATGTGTGAGGGGGTGAGGTCTCAATGGGAGATGGGGTGCAGGAGCAGGCCAGGGGTAGGGTGCAGGAGTGAGCTGTAGGTCTGAGGTCTTAGCAGAGCTGGATGAGAAGAGTAGGGGGATGCAGGTTCTGAGCCTGAGGGGCAAGGGGGGGGAACTTATCTGACTTTGCACCCCCTCCGCTCCCAGACACCACGTCCCAGGCATGGCCTCTGACTGCTCCCATTGGCCACATTCCAGCCAATGGGAGAAGTGGGGAAAGCCTCAAGGCAGCATCATGTCTGTGCATTGCTGTTTCCCCAGCCAGGGGAGGGGGAATGGCTTCTGGCTCCACTTTTTCCCCACAAGCTGGATCTGGCAGGGAGGCTTGCATGCCCCCTCCACCCCACCCTGCTCCCCAGAGGGAAGCCAGCACTGGCACTCCAACCTTGCAGTGGTGGGTGGGTGGGTGGGAGAGAGGGAGAGGGAGAGGGAGGCTGGAGCACCATCCCAGTCTCCTTGCTGCGGGGAGAGGGAGGGATTATTCACAGCTTTTCCTAAAAACTCACTATTACCTGTTTTCACGTAATTTTGGGTCTATTTATTAGATACTCAGTGACATGTAGCTGAGAACCAATGCAGATTGTAGATCAGAGAATTTTAGCTTACAAGATCACTTAATTATTCACTTACTAGTTGTGTTCAGGGTGGTGTTGCTTTTTGTAGTAGTATTACTTCCATAGCTGTAACTGTGTACTGATAAGTTACATATTGTTGTAGCTGTTTGGGTATATAGACGTTCCTTTATTGGAATAGCACTTTAATTTATAAATAAATCTGAAATAAAGCTAAATCCTAAACTGTAGTTGTGATATCAGAGTACAGTGGGAGACAAACCACACAATACAAAAAATTACCCATAGGTGAGTTGTTTCATTTACTTTAAATTTTTGTGTAAATAAAAGATTAATTTTTTCAGTGTGCAAGATAAGAGTTTTTGCCCCCATAATTATAGTTGTATGCAGAAGCAGTATGGAATGCATGTGTATTAGGTACTAAAAAAGAGAAATAATGACTTGAGTTAGTGTGAATTTATTTTTAATCTTTCAGTATCTTAATTTTTTTTTCAATTTAAAAAGTAATAGTACAGCTACTCTTCTAAAATGATTTTTGTATTACGTTATTTAAATACTTAGCAGAGGGATTCAGTCTCATGGTTATATTTCCAAAGGACTATGATTGCACATTCATGAATTTCTTCCATGTTTTCTTTTCAGGAGGATAACTTGAGGTTCAGAAAGGTTGCACACTCCGATAAATCTGGATCACCCACAGCCTTGACCCTCAGAGATAATGGTTCCAATCCTCTTCCTTCGCTTCTTGTTGTAATTGCAGCCATTTTCATTGGATTCTTTCTAGGGAAATTCATCTTGTAGAGCGAAGCATGCAGAATGCGGCTTCCTTTTTTTCCCTTGGCCAGAAAAATTTGTTTACCTACCACTTCATTGGTAGTATGGCCCAAGTGACCATTTTTGTGTACAGCATCATACAGGCTTTGCCTTTAATGATCTCTCACGGTTAGAAAACACAATTTTAAAAAAAGACAAACTGTTCGGCTACTGGACAAAAATTGTACATTAAATCATCAATAGCAGGTGTGAGTTGCACATTCAGTCCTTTATGAAAATTCATAAATAAAGAAGCGTTCTTTCTTTCTGTGGTTTTAATAAGAGTTCAAAAATTGTTCAGAGTCTTGTAAATGTTATTTTAATAATCCTTTAAAATTTTATCTGTTGCTGTTACCTCTTGAAAAATGATTCATTAGATTGTTAATCCCATTCATTCAGGAATATGACAAGAGGTTTTCTGCGGGAAATGGTGCCTCTTAACTGTAAATTTACTCCTTTACCTTATTTTGCTAATATCATGGCAGAATTTCTCTCTTATCCCTTGTGAGGCAGTTACTGGCAATTTTTCATCCTTACAATCCTGTCCCATGGTATTTAACATTAAAACAGAAATAAAATTAACAGATTTTCTGCTGGGTAGCCTGTCGTGTGTGTCATACTTTTAGAGGGATTCCTAACAAGTTTATTGTTCATGGTAATTTGCTATTTGTAAGAAATGGATGTTTTCCAATTTACTTTAAGTTTTTGGCTTAGACTGTTGTATTTGAAGCTTGAGAAAACGTATTCCCATTCGATTTATGAAGTGCTGAATAGTTTTATAGCTGCTTTCAGCTATAGAAAAGCTAATTATCAAATTTATTTTGAGACCTAGAAATAATTTGGGTATCCAGCAGGTATAAATATTGGGAGACAAATGTTTGAAGTTTCTGGTATTTAAATATTTACTTGGATTGTCTGGGTGTATTACAGTCAACCTTCTGTTGCATCTTTGCGTTTGTTGGGTGTCTAACGGGGCAAATTTTCCTTTGGTTTCAGAAAGGGTAAATCATTCACGTTTTCTAATCTTTCAGTTCTCTTTGCAACTCCATTTTAACTGATTCTTAAATACATTTTTTTCTATTCAAATACCCATAATGAATTTCCATGATGCATTAGAGTTGATATTTGCTGACCAAGCCTCCAATTATTTAACTTCCAAAAGTTAAAAGAAAAAACACAAACTTTTCATGCAACTCTTAGCAAATTTACCTGTGCTATTAATCATGTGTATCTAAGTTTTAAAGAATGCATTTATTGGGTCTGAAATGCTTCCCTGCACTTAATCTTATGTCTTGTCTCATTTCTGATATACAGGTCATAAACCAAGTAGATAGTAGTATTGAAACAAAATATATCCATAATTCTGACTCAGCATAATCTAGCACAGGAAATTACTTGTAAACTGACAAATTCTGGAAAAGAGATACTTCTGTATGCAAAATTGTGCATGTACTTGGACAACTTGACTTGATGTGGTGCAGCTAAGTGTGTTAGACCTTGTGTGTACACACATTGTTTAGCTGAGAAAAATTATCTAGGAAAAACACTCATTATCTTCATTGCCTTTGATTTCTAGTGATTTTTAATGAACTAATATACTTACATCATGATTTGTCATTGCTGTCTGTAGTAAACTTCTATGAAAAAAAATCTTGCATATGTACAAGGAAGACAACAAAGAAAATACAAATATTACTTACCTTTTCACTTAAACGCATGCAAGTACAGATGTATCCATTTGTATGTTCCAGTATCTGCATTCAAGCCTCCTTTCAGGTTAATGACTAGAAAAAACATTCTGAAACCTTGATTATTTTGTTTTCCTTGGTTCAGAAACCAATACAATTCTCCAACTTATGCTCTGTCAAAATGGTGATATATCTGACTGTATAAACCTGTTTCTTAAAGGAAAGCTGACAACATGTAAACTAAAAAAAAGCTATAGTGTGCAGGATGTAGTTTGCTTCAAACAAAGCAATCATATACTAGTTTATGTAAAGAATTGTAATAATGCCCAGCATTTTCAGCATTGTTAGAGCAGAAAAAGTCATTTCTTAATACAGTCAATTTTTGTTGGATGTTTGGCATCAGTACTTTAGAATGGGAAAGGATACATGTATTGAGATAAAATGATTATAAAATCAGCTAGCTGATTAATATGATTTTTTTTATAAATATGAAGTAGATGGAAATTGGTATGGTTGGAGTAATATGTGCAGACTAAAAGTGCACACAGGCACCATAACTAATATACATAACATGAGGTGCTCCTGATATAAGGAGACTCTTTTGGTTTCCGGTATCCTTCATAGCTGTATATAAAATGTAATGCTAAAATTTATTTTGCTCTCAGGAGTGTCTTTGGATGAGATCAACTGTATTCAGTGAATTATGTAATATGGATTAAATTGTTTGTCTGTTCCAGAAATGGTTAGAACTTCTTACTTTGTGTGCCTACTTACTTGTGTATGTCAGCATGGGGAAATATCTCCACTGCTAATAGTGAGAGTATGGTTAAATGATAAAGGCCATAAAGTCATGTATGAAGTTAAATGCACAATTTTCCCAACATTTTTAGTTTAATGGAGAATACAGATTGCATTTTTGTTTGCCCTTTAGGGCAAGATGTTAACAGAAATCTCTTGATCTTAGAGATGTAGTACCGTATGTCAAGTATTTTTATGAATACAGCACTTTAAAAATGTATAACACTTCTGAAATTCTGCTAAATAGAAAATACTTATTTCTTTTAGTATGTTTCTGTAGTAATTTAGACCCCAAATTTAAACTACTTGAAAATTACTATAATAAATAAATTAGCCCACTTTATGGGCATATGTTAAAAAAAAATCTTAAAACCTGCACCAATGTGCAATCTTTGTGCATTCCAACTACTTCTCTAAAAGCAGTTGACAACTGCTGTCAGTCAGTCTTGCATGTTCCTGCTATGATTGATGCGGATGCACATACAGGAGATAAATCAACAAAACACTAGCTTGAACTCTATTAGAGTGCCTCGGGGGGCGGGGGGGGGGGGATAGGGTGCCTCGGGGGGCGGGGGGGGGGGAAGAGGCTTTTGCCAAATGGGAAAGGATAACATCGGTAAGCAACATTTATTATAAAGGTTCTAAGGGTATTACAAAGCCTAAAGTGTTAATAAACTATTAAAAATGTGACTGTGTCCTTTTTTGTTTTTAGACTGTGATGAGTTTAAACTGTTAGATGTATGTTTCTGTGCTGATTGGTGTACCTTGTTTGCTGTATAGCTTCCATGCTGCCATATTGATCATCACTAATGTTAACACGTAATTTAAGCATAAAGTTAGCAGTAAACTGTTAGTTATCAGTTTTCACATGTTCGGTAGCCAGAGTAAGTATACTAAAAATATTCTGAGATTTGTGGGAAAAGTATAATGTAACATCCTTTTTTGTATTTATACTGGAATCCTCTGGGCTTATCTCTTCACTTGAATAGTCATCCAACAGCCTTCTGACCAAAGAGGCAAAAAAGATGGAATTCACTGCTTTAGCAAATAGCTAAGTCCCCTGAAGCACTTTATGGGAGTGTAAATTGCTTCATAAAGCCAGACTACTTTTGATTTGCTCCAAAATATAAAGATCATCTGCAGCGATTCTGTAATATATATCACCAAAACCAACAAGCAGAACCCATGAACAGCAACACAAAACACTCCTCTCAAGAATTCAGCCAATTCACACAACTAGAAATCATGGAATATTGATGTCAGTTGACGTATCTTTTGTAATTGACCCCCATACTTTTCTTGGATGACAAAATTAATTAGAACAACTGGGACCAATGTTCCCTCTGACTTTTTCCATACATGTGTGGAATATATTTCATGTGCACCAATGCATGTATAGTTATGCACCACCAGTAGAAACATGCTGGCAGCTTTTGGTATTCTGCTAATCAACTGGGTGGCATTTAAATCTCTCCTGGATGGCTGCCCAAGTGCTCAGTTTACAGGGAACACTGTTTGGGACCCTTATTAAACCACTACTAATACTTTTTTAAGGAAAATCTATAAGCCATAAAAAAGATGCAATAGTTTGTCCTATGCTAAAGAAACTTTCTTAAATTATCACCTGTGTTTAATCTCCATTTTCTAAGCAATTCAAGAAGATAGTAGATAATCTCCACAGTCATATGTCTGCTGTCAGTCTCTAAGATCCCAGAATTACACATCAGGATGGGGCATGGTACAGAGGCAGCACTTGTATTACTTTGGATGACTTATCTATGTAAATGAATTAACATCCATGCTTAACCTTCCTGGACTTTGATGGTATTTGATACCAAAGGTTACCAAATGTTGCATCCTGTCTTCAAGGAGTTGAATGGAAACATTCTGAAATGGTTTGAAAAAAGGGATCCAAGCAGAGTCTAGTGAATCGTAAATGACTGTTCGTTCACCTCCAAAGTGCTTGCCTACAGAGTCCCACAGAACTGTGTTCTCCTTATCTTATTCAACATCTGTGTGAAGCTATTGGGAGAGTTAGTGATACCACACATGCTGATGTATCAATGTTGAAGTCTTATTACCTGGATGAAAAGCAGATGGCTAACATTGAGCTTATACAGCTGATGGTACTTCTCTCATACCTATCACCCATGACCTTTTTGCCCTTATGCTGTAAGACCTGTGGTCCTTAATGCTACTGGATGTCTAAACAGTCGCTTTCAACTATGGCGCAAGATTATTTCTCATTCTGTCTGATACTTACCTAACCTCTGTGTTTGTGTCCTGGCTTACTTGTCACATTTCATATTTAGGAAGGAAGCCACATTTTGTCACAGCTACAGTTAGTACAAAACACAGCAGTCTGCCTTAGAAGGACACTGGACAAGTACTTACATATTCTGCTTTGTGAAAAGGTTCCCATTGAGTAGAGTGTACGGTTCATACCAGTGTGCCAGTCTCTTCATTAGATTGGTTCTAGTTTCTTGAGAGAAACTCTCTCTCCCTCTGACGTCCCATGAAAGCTACTAAGTATAGTATAGTTAAGCTGTTCATATAATCATAGAGCTAGAGGAGACCTCAGGAGGTCATCAAGTCCACCCCCCTGCCCAAGTCAGGACCAATCCCAACTAAATCAACCCAGCCAGGGCTTTGTCAAGTCGAGTTTTAAAACCTCTAGGGATGGAGATTCCACCACCTCCCTAGATAACCCATTCCAGTGCTTCACCACCCTCCTAGTGAAATAGTTATTCCTAATATCCAACCTAGACCTCTCCCACTGTAACTTGAGACCATTGCTCCTTGTTCTGCGATCCGTCACTACTGTGTACAGTCTTTTTCCATCCTCTTTGGAACCTCACTTCAGGAATTTGAAGGCTGCTATCAAATCCCCCCTCACTCTTCTCTTCTGCAGACTAAACAGACCCAACTCCCTCAGTCTCTCTTCATATGTCATGCGCTCCAGCCCCCTGATCATTTTGGTCGCCTTCCGCTGGACCCTCTCCAATGCGTCCACATCCTTTCTATAGTGGGGGGCCCAGAACAAGATACAATATTCCAGATGTTCAACAGAGCCAAATAAAAGGGAATAATCACTTCTCTGGATCTGCTGGCAATGCTCCTCCTAATGCACCCTAGTATGCCATTAGCATTCTTGGCTACAAGGGCATGCTGTTGACTCATATCCAGCTTCTCATCCACTGTAATCCCCAGGTCCTTTTCTGCAGAACTGCTACTTAGCCATTCAGTCCCCAGCCTGTAACAATGCATGGGATTCTTTCATCCCAAGTGCAGGACTCTACACTTGTGTTTGTTAAACCTCATCAGATTTCTTTTGGCCCAATCCTCTAATCTGTCCAGGTCACTCTGGACCCTATCCCTGCCCTCCAGCATATCTTCCTCTCCCCCTAGCTTAGTGTCATCTGTGAACTTGCTGAAGGTGCGATCTATCCCCTCATTCAGATCATTAATAAAGATGTTGAACAAAACCGATCCAAGAACAGATCCTTGGGGCACTCCGCTAGAAACCAGCTGCCAACCTGACATTGAGCTGTTGATCACTACCTGTTGGGCCCGACAGTCTAGCCAGCTTTCTATCCATCTTTCAGTCCATTTATCCAATCCATATTCCCTTAACTTGCTGGCAAGAATATTGTGGGAGGCAGTATCAAAAGCTTTGCTAAAGTCAAGGTATATCATATCCACAGAGCCAGTTACCTCATTATAGAAGCTAATCAGATTGGTCAAGCTGTTAACCAATACAAGAAGGCTGAGTGAGAAGACAAATTTTTACAGTTCTGAAATCCTGGGAAAAGAAATTTGTGTCCATGAAATTAACCTTTGCATCTGTTCTATGCACTTACACACAACCAACTCATAAAACTTAAACAATGAATAGTCTAGCAGCACCTTAAAGACTAACAAAACATGTAGATAGTATCATGAGCTTTCGTGGGTACAACCCACTTCTTCAGATGAATGGATTATTTAAAAGTCCTGTTCCAAAATAAATAGGGGATGAGGGTGTAGAAGGAAGGAGGAAAATAGTGAATTAGAGTGTTTATGTTAAATGAAGTTGCTAGAGAAGGTGCAAGTCACTAGGATGTGGAAGGTAGTGTGCTAGCCAAATAATGTCTTTATCCATACCTTTGTGATGGGTCCCAAACCTGTAAATGAAGTTAAATTCCAATGCTTCCCTGTGTATTTGGCTGGTGGAATTGGCCTGAAACAACACGGTGATTTTGATATTAATTAATGAGTTCCCAGACAGGTTAAAGTGTTCTCCAACAAATTTCCATGTGTTGCTTTTCCGGATATCTGATTTGTCCGTTAATTCTTTCCCGTAGAGACTATCCAGTTTGGCCAGTATACGTGGCAGAGGGGCATTGCTTGCATTGGATGGCACAGATCACATTAGTGGATGTGCAGTTAAATGAACCTCTCATTTGGTGGCTGATGTGGTTGGGTCCAGTGATGAAATTGCTCATGTAGATGTTGGACAGAGTTGACACCAGGGATGATTATGAGGGAGGTATGCTGCATGGTTACTGGAAATAATTTGTTTGCGGTTAGGGGGTTGCCTGGTTGTATGTATAAAAAGTACATAGGTAGAAGTAGGGGATTTGTTATCTTTGTAAATATGTCCTAAGTGTAGATTTAATCAGAAAAGTGGCTATGTGAAAATGGCATCAAAGAACAATTTTAGTCTGATTCTTATCTTCTGGCTTTGCTACCCTGAGATTTGGACAAGGTTGTGAATGGCAGGATACATGAAAATAATGTACTTAACTCCTCTGTGTGGATGCTACAGCATGCACCAATGGGTTTATAGCCATCAGAGGGATAGCTGTGGTAGTTTGTAATGTTAAAACCAAGCAGTACTGTGGCACCTAAGAGACTAACAAATATATATCATGAGCTTTTGTGGGCA